ATTTTTTTTTTTCCTTTTTGTCTTTTTTCGTGGCTGGCAACGGATCGCAACCCTCAGTGCCGCGCCCGTACCGGACCGGGACCGGCAACGGGATCGCAACCCTCGGCGCTGCCCCCGCACCTCGCTCAGCCAGTGAGTGGGAACCGGTCTGTATGTGGGATCCGAACCCTCGGCGGGAGCGCCACCACGCTTCCCAAGCGGCGCACTGTAGCAGTGTGCCACCGGGCCGGCCCCTGGCTAGTAAAATTTTTACAAATAAATGCGTAAATTAAAATATGGCTAAAATGACTGAAGAACTGAAGTTTTAATTTTATTTAAATTCAATTAATTTAGATTAAAATAACCACATGTGGCCAGTGGCCACCATATTAGACAGCACACTCACCACATGGTGTTTCCACCAACACAGCATATGGCTAGCCCATAGGAAAATGAAAATATTAAGACCTCTTCATTCCCTTCCTGTCTTGATTAAGTCTTCCACGGGGTTCTCAGCCTGGCTATATATGAGAATCACCTGGGGTACCCAGACCTTAACCCCAGAATGCTGGTTCACTTGGTCTGGGGTTGAACCTGGCATTAATCAGAATTCCTACATCTTCCCTGGAGCTTCTAAAGTGCAGCCAAGATCAAGAACCGCTGTTCTCCTGGTGACTTGCTGGGACATAGCCCTTGATAACCTCCCATGGGACTAACAATCGAGTGCATTCAAATATGAACACTAAAGCACAATCTGCAAACTAATCAATGCTTTTTAGCTTATCCGCTGATGTAGATTTCTAGTGTCACCTATTAACTATGTTAATCCAGAGTGACTATGTAGGATCCAGTAGGTAAATATCTTAACCAAATGCTGTGTATTATTTATCAAACAAGGCCCATTATCTGTTAAAGTAATCTCAAAACATCCAAAGCCTTAAATGAAAAATAGACACAAATATGAGTAAAGTAAAAACAGCTCAGGGGCAACCTAACCTACTACTTCATCCATTTAAATGGAAACCAAACCTTCAGAGTGGGAAATACTCTAGAGGAGCAAGTCATCTCTAATATTTAAGGATAATTATTTAAAAGACTAAAACGATTATATCTAATAAGCATTCATTTTTGAGGGAGAAGTGTTATGAGGAAGCAATATCACGTCGCTTTGTTTTTTTCTTTCATTCATTTATTTAACAAATATGCATTTTTAGAAACAACGGAGTAAAAATAATAAGCATTCACTTAATTATTCAACGAGTGTTCACTGAGCCCCTAACAGGTGTCAGGCACCTTATAGGAGCTGGGGATGTGGTGGTGAATGAGATGGAGAAGGTGCTGCTCTCATCCTGGTGGGTGGAGAAATACAGAGAACAAATTAGGAAGTGGGAAACTCTCAGACACCATTCCGTGCTGTGCAGAGATGACAAGACTGCAGCAGTGCTGAGTGACTGGGCTGTAGCAGACTGAGTGGCCTCTCCGAGCGGCTGATATTTGCATGATGTGAGACTGAGGGATGCAGAGGAGTCAGACACATGAAGATCAGAAAGAGCGCCCCAGGCAGTGGGGTCTGCCATGCAAAGGGCCAGGGCAGGGAGTGAGGGACGAGGATGAGGGACGAAAAAGGGAAGGGGTGGGGGCTGGACCCTGTGGACTTTCCACACCGGAGAGGGGACGTGAGTAAACCACTGAAGAACTCTAGGCAGGAGGGCACCAACGGCTTGATTAGGATTTTGAGCTCTCTGGCGGTTGGGCAGAGAAAGAATTCTGGAAGAGAAGAGTGGAAACAGAGAGACTAGTGGGAGTCTGCTGCAGTGGTGCAGGAGGGGTGAGAGAAGGGGACAGAGCAGAGACATAGACAGACAGGGAGTGGGGAAGAGGGAAGAGCCTCCAGGATGATCCCTGGGGTTTTGGCCTGAACAACTGGCTAGGTTTGGGGAAAGGAGCAAGTTGGGAGGAAGTGGGAGGTGGTTGGGAATCAAAGGTCCTGTTTTCTACCTCAGTTTGAAAGCCTTTTAAGCACCCAAGTGGCTCTTGGTAATTACACCGACAAGTCTGAAATGCCAGGTTTAGGAGATTCAGAACAAGAGTCTGGGAGTCATCACTTGGCTGACACGGGGGACAGCACAGCTAGACATGAGGGGTCAGGTCCTCTGACACTTAGAAGGAAACGGAGGAGAAGCCGAAGCAAAGGAAAAGGAGGAGGGGCTGGCAGGAAGGGCCAGGAGATGGGGGGTTCCAGAACCAGAAGCGGCAAGTCCTCTAAACCAAGACACGGTCAGCTGCGTGGAAGCCTGCTGATGGCCAAGTAAGACAAGGACAGAGAAATGGAGACTTGGTGGCACAGAGACAGGTGATCTTGACAAGAGCAGTCAGGAGAGGCAGAGGTCAGTTAATGTGGAGACCCCAGTTACGGTGAAGGGAGCAGAGGATTGGAGCTGAGGTTCTAGAAGGTTTGTCAAGAAAGAGGAGGGAGCAGGTGTGCAGGAGGAAGAGGCTCAGCACCAGCAGGCAGCTGCCACTTCCCCGAGGCTGCAGGCACCTGCTTCTGCCCGCCCCCCCTGCTCAGGGACCCTCAGGCTGCACCCTCACTCAGCCCCTTCCAGCTCTGTCTGCTCTCACCATTTCTGACATATTGGCTTTTAACTGGGTCTGGGTCTCTCTTTCTAGGCCCTTCACATTGGAAGAACATTCCTGCCCCAGGGCCTCTGCACACAAAGCTCTTCTTCAGGACACACGCATGGCTCACTGCCTTGGTTCACCCACATCCCTGTCCAGGCATTGCTTTTGCAGACAGGCACACAGACACCCCCCCTGCATCATTCTGTCCCCTCATTCCCTCTGACTGTTCTTCTGTCCTCGCCATCAACCAACATGCTATGTGCTTAGTTATTTGTCTACTGTCTGCCTCCCCACTAATGTGGAGGCCCCAAGAGTGCAGGGGCTTGAATCGTTCCCTGCTATCAGCACCTACTGTACCACATGGTCCATGTTATGTGTTAAATAAGTGTTTAATCTTTTAAACTCTGTTAGGTTAGTTGTGGTTGCTATAACCATTTTACATGGGAGAAAATTGAGGCTGAGAGATTAGAGAACTTGCCCAAGGGCACAGTTAACAAATGGCAGTGCGTCCACTCAAATGAAGCTTTCTATCCACTGAATGAATGAATAAATGGACAGAAACTCTGCTCGTCTTTCTGCTGTGTACTCCAACACAGTTCCCTCAGGTCTCCTCCACCTCTCTCTGTCCCTCTACAGCTTGAGCACAAATAGCCAGTTTGTACCACTCTGCACATTTCTTCCCAACTCCATATTTAGTGACATCTGGAAGGGACACAAAAATTGGCCATGGTGGGAATGTTTACATTATGGAAATTGGCAAATGCTACAAACCAGGGATTTTTTCCCCCAGGGAGCTGACTGCTAAAACATTTACCAGGACAACACTGTCCCCCCAACCGCCTGCCCCTACCCTTCCACTTGCTCTTTGCTTAACCTGACCCAGATACTGCCTCCTTGTTTGGGCCCAAATCCTGGGGTCTAATTAACTAGGAGGAAGGAATTAGACGATTACTAAATCAAATGAGTATGATTAGTGACTAGAAAACTAGATTAAAAATAGAGGCAACTTGACAAAAAAATTTAAGTTCAATAAATACAAGAACAGGGTAAGGCAGGGAAAAAAGCAATATTCTTATAAAACTGGAGTACAGTATACTCTCCTGGAAAACATTTGTTGGCATTTACTGGGTTTTGCTTAGGAAAAACAAGACAAAAAATCCAAAACCTAAAGATTATGAGAGATTAAGTAAAAAAAAAGCAAAATAGAAAACATAATGTAAATGTGGCTGTACAACCTATTGAAATATTAGACAAATATTGACTTTCTAAGTTTCTCTTCCAGTCAGTTAGGCCAAGACATGAACCATATCAAAGAATCTATAAATTCACTTTTAATTTTTTTCTGGATGACCATGATGTTATTCTGATGGTCCCTGACTGACTCATATTGGCTGGAAATGCTCATGTTTTGTGTGACATACAGGCAATCCAATTAATGCAAACTCTATAAACAATTACTATAAAAAGAAAATCACTTACTTCTAGGGTCTGCATCAGATTTGGTTTTATTGCATCTTTCATCAAAACTGTCAAGGCACCTGTCACCCCCTACAGGAGAGAAAAAGAAAAGATCATCGGGTAATGGTTGGTCTCTTGGCTGTTTCTCACCAGCCTGCTGCCTCGGTGGGCACCCCCCAGGCTGCTCTAGCCTCTGTCCCCCTCTCCCCACCAAAGCCACCCTACAATGGAAGAGTAGTGTGGGAGGAGCAGACCTTGCTCTTCTTCCAAAACCTTCCTTGATGGTGTTTAAGAGGCTTGTCATAAAATAGATTTTTCAATCCACAGAAAAGTGTTTTCTAGCAATTTACGCACATTCTATTTTCATTACCGGAGGCTTTACGATTGCCCAAAGAAATAAGATGAAGAACTGAAACAAGGCTATTTACAGAGCAGGAATGAAGAGGCCTACAAGGAAATGTCTAGAAGCACCTTTCTGGTTTCCCCCCTCACTCAACAGACCGCTGCATTTGAAAGGCTTCATGCTACTTCTCTTTGCAGAGTGAAGCTGATGTCATTTTTACATAAAATAAGGCTGCCTCCCTCCCATCCTATAAAGTACTGGGTTGGGTTCCTTCTATAGAAAAAAGAACACAGAAGAGAGAACAGGGATGATGCTTGAGAATTAGTGGAAAAAGTGTGCCAAAAAATGCCACAAGGCTAAAGTTTGATATTTTAAAAATGAGATGTCACTATTCACTTTGTTTTCTTCTTTCTTTCTTTTTTATTACATCCCTTCTCACTTTGCTGAAGAACCTGGGCAAAGTCTTGGTGTTTTCAACAAATTAGTCAGTTACAGAAAGTCTATAACATGAGCAAATGTCTGTGAAGGTAGCTCTGAAAAAAAAAAAAAAGCACTATCCCTTGCTGCATACCACATCACAAAACACAGTAGTGCCATTTACCACGGCATGCTGCAGCTCTACCAGGTAAGGAAGTAGACTCTGGAGAATCTTCCTCAATCCAAAGTGCATTACTTTCTCCCTCTACTTCTATCCCCAACAAAACACAAAAGAAAACTAAAAGGACTAAACTTTGGGTTTGTTCCATATACTGAGATTTTTATCACACACACAAAAATAAATTTAAGGAAAAAATATTTGAGGATTAAGTTTCAAAATGCTCCTGACACATTTATTTCTGTCTAAGATTAACAGGATATAGATAAATATACTTATATGGAAACTGTGGTTTGTTAGTTTAGATACTAAAATGCTGAGATTTTGGTAATTTTAAAAAAGCAGCACTTTTACAGCAGTGTGAACCTGGGTTTTCTCTTTAAGCCTCACACGAAGTACTCCACAGTGC